CATTGTCCATGAGGATTTGGACTGACTGTTGTATATTAGGGGGAGAAAGTGAAAGCATAGCTTTTGTACCGCCCGTAGTTCTAACTGGTTGATGCGTTGCCTGGACTCATCCTGAGTCCATTGGGCCTGGACTCCTGAGGCCAAGGTGTGCTCCCCAGCCTAGCAGTGATGCATTTGTACTAATTGTGACTGACGGGGGGAGGGGGGCTGCGTTGGAAAGGGATGCCTACACATACATTGCCCTGCTGGGTCCACTATGTGAGAGAACATTTTATTCTGGTAGGTAAGGAGAGTTGTTTGTTCAGAGAGTGGATTCACAGGTGGTACGTCGAGTGCAGTGTAGGTAAGCGTGGGGTACTAAGAAAGTGGCCGCCACTACGTGACTCAGGATTTGAAGGCAGAGACGTGTTGTTAAGAGTCTGAATGGTAACACTCAGTACTGCAAGTATCTGTCTTGTAATATGAAGCATAGGCATGTCCTGTGTGACGGGTGTATTGATATATGAAAATAAGCATCCTGGAGGTCGAGGGTAGTCAGCCAAGCTCCTTTTTCCAAGGCAGGGATAATTGTGGCAAGGGTCATTATCTTGAAGCACTGATATCTGACAAAGCGGTTTAACCTGTGATGGTCCAGAATAGGCCTCCAACTGCCTGACTTCTTGGTGGTGAGACAGTAATGGGAATAGAAACCACTGCCCATGATGTTGTGGTACCTCTTCTATGGCTCCCAGCTTTAGAAGGTGTTCTGCCTCTTGTGCGAGCACATGCTTGTGAGAGGGGTGAAGAGTGACGGGCACGCAAGGGTGGGATGGAGGGATATCTAAAAAGGGGATGCTTTAGCTGGTTTTTATAATTTCCAACACCCACTTGTCGATGGTCATGAGGGACCACGCTGGATAGAATGTGGCTAGTCTGCTGCCAAATATTGTGGATGGTTCTGATTGCTGCCTTGGAAATACTGGGATGATCAAACCCTCAACCAGGACTTCAAAACTGTTGTCTAGATGTTGAGAGTTGTTGAGTTGATGACTATTGGATTTTCTGCATCTGTTTTGATGTGGCCGATGTCTATTGTCATAATGCCGTTGCTGCTGGTTGAACGGTTGTGTTCTGTATCTCTGAGTGAATGGCCTGCCTTGCTTTCTTTTCATGACAAGCATGTGGATGCCTAAAGTTTTTAGAGTCATTCTGGAATCCTTCAAGGTGTATAAGTATTTGCGAAGTCTGTGAAAAGCTTGGTGGCCTTGAAAGGTAAATCCTCCACTGTGGATTTTACCTCTCTCAGGAAGCCAGAGAGTTGGAGCCAATAGGCCCATCTCATCACTATGGTGGAAACCAGAGATCTAGCTGCTGTATTTGCTGAATCATGCACTGCCTGGAGGGTTGTATGTGATATGAGTGTGCCCTCCTTGATGTTGGCCTTAAACTGTTCCTTTTGATTGTCTGGTAATGATTCAATAAAAGCTGTTAACTAGTCAAAGATGTGATGTGTGTATTTTGTCAGTAATGCCACATAGTTAGCTATTCTGAGTTGAAGACTCACTGAGGAATATGCTTTTCTCCCCATTGTGTCCAACCTCTTCCAATACCTGACATGAGAGATGGTACTAGTGGCCTGTTGCTTCACTCTCTGATTTACTGCTTCAACCACTGAGTTTGGTGTGGGGTGGGAGAAGAGAAATTCTGCTCCTTTAGAGGCAACATAGCATTTCTTAGAGGTTCTTTTGGAGGTTGGTGTGATTGTGGAGGACGTCTGCCACATCTTTTTGGCAGGGTTCATAAGCGACTCATTCATGGAGATTGCCAGTTTCATGTGGGAATATGCATTCAATATATTTGTCAGTTTATGCTGTGTCTGAGGCATGTCAGACAATGAAATCTCTAAAATCTCGGCGACTTTTTAAAAAAGGTCTTGAAATGACTTAAAATCACTCCCGGCGATTGTTGGAGGCATGATTATGTCATCGGGGGTGAAGACGAGGTATGTGTTGGTAGAAGAGCGCAAGATGCGTGCTCATCCCTGATAACGCCTACCTCCTGGTCTTCTGCTTTTGAATTGTAGTGTTTTGGAGATTGGGGTGTTGGTGCCTGAGACCGTGGTGCAGGGGATAGCAACTGAGGTTGGTGCCCGTTGTGATCTAAATGCAGTCCATAGGTCACAATATGGCCAGTTGCGAGGGAAAGTGGGAGGAAACTACCATGCAAGTTGCTACTATCATAATTGTTGCTGGTGTTTGGATATGGAGTGTCTTGGTAAATGTGATGTGTTGTTTATTGTTGCTAAACACTGGGGCTGTTGAATTGCCAGGTGTGGAGGAAAGACTATCTTGAAATTTGGCATGCCATTAGCACCAAAAAGAGGAGTACTTGGCACTGAACTAACATCTAGCTCTGTCGCCACTGTAAAATGTGGTACCAGTGGAGGGGGAGGTAGTATTAGGGGCTGAGCTATGTGTGGCATGCTCAGCGGGATTGTTTGCAGTGCCAGTTGCCCCTTGTGTGGCCGGTGCTGAGCGCTCTGATGGTGCTGTTACTGCCACCTGAGGCAAAACACTTGTACTTGTGGCTTGGCTGTGCTGTTGGTCACGATCTGCAGCTGGTACCACAGCTGTTTTTGCCAGTGCCGGCAGGGAGGGTTTGCAATTTGCCTCAGAGGGCTCCTTAGTGGAGGCATATTCTTGTTCTTTTTAATTGGGGTCACAGCTCTTAGTGCTGCTGGCCCTGCTTACAGGCTGCTTCTTCAACCCCTTTTGTGCTGGGGTGGATGTGCAGCATTCTTGTAGAGAAGACATTTCCTCATGGGAGAGTCAGTCTCATAGGAGGTGTAGGACCTCTTCTTGGGATGAGGATTGCCCTGGTCTTTCGGACTTGTTTCAGAAGGAGCCACTCTCTCTGACCCCATCCCAGGTGATTTCTGACTGGGAGGGGTATTCTGCTTGGGGTCAGACCCAGATTGAGCTTTTTTCTAGAGTTGACTCATTTTTACTTGTAGCTTCTTGGCCTTTCTGGTATGCATTGTTAATTTTTGACAATGAGGACAGTGCTCTATGGGGTGCTCTTTCCCAAAACAACGGTTGTTCCCATCAGATATAGAGAAAGATAGTCTGTACACTTTTTAAAACCAGGCAAGCCAGGCATATCATGGAGAGCAGAAGAGGTTTTAAGTGGAACTGTGGTGTCCACAAAGAGACCCTAAATCAAATAATTTTTTAAGAAAAAGGAAACTTGGGGCATATCTAATTAGTAACTAAATCACTATGAGAACACACTAAAACTACCCATAGTATAGGGGAACTGCTGAGCTGTGACTGAAGCCGACGGCGGTTGAGAAGGAACTGAGAAGGTGGCCAGCTGTGTGAGTGCAGTAGTCATTCCAGATTGCATATGACGCAGTAGCCTCCCCAGGAATGAAATTAGGGGGGGTGTTAGAATTTACAAGGGGAGGGGGTATCAGGGCTGATGAGGGATGAGACCATGAGGGTGAAGGTGGGCTGTATGGCACCATAGTTCACAAAAGTGGGGGGGTGTTGGGGAAATTCAGGGAGGTATATACACCTC